AAAAAAAAAGAAAGAAAAAGAAATGATTGGTAAGCTTGAGGCATCTTTCTTCAATTTTGTGTCCTTCCAAAATGCCAACTACTACTGAGCATATGAGGACCTAAATGTGCCTCAAAACTGTTTTTTTTTTCTCTTTTTTCACTATTTAAGAAAATAAAGTTTGATAGGAAGTCATGAGATTTTAGTTTAAGCCAATTTCCACAATCTTTTTAGACTTTTCTTTCTTGGCATTGTTTCTTGAATAGTCATTTGGACTGCAAAACATTTAAATGTTTGTACATATAAGGTTTGGTGTCATTTTGTTGATGGTATAGCAAAACTTATACATTGATTTTTTTTTTTTTCTTTTTCTTCTCTTGTTTTACAGTTATCTAGTGTTTAGGCTGCATATTAAAAGAAAGATGCAGCATTTTATCTCCCAATGTAAATCATTTTGAAGTTAAAAAACACACAACACAAACATTCATCACAAAGAGAGTACTATTATGTATCTCTCTAAGTACATGGCTGTTACAAACTATGAGATCACAAATAGCAAATCCTATATAGTAGAAATTGCGGTTAAAGTTAGAAACATCATTCAAGCTGTAGGAGACCAAGAATAAAAAGTTCAGATAGAAACAATTTAAATATGATGCTAAATGTAGTCTTACTTGGGAGAAGTTTTCTCTCACAAAGTTTCAGTTTTGTGAATTAAAGGGCTGCAGCTTCCAAGTATTCAGTCCGACAATTTTGGTGCAAGATCAGAAAACATTTCACTCTGAAACTAAACTGGATGGCACACATATGTTACAATTGAAGGTATATAACACCTATTGAGGGCCTGGAAAACCAATATATTGGAATGGAATCCATGATGGCTGGATGCCAGACATACCATCTAATGCAAGTGCCTGGGCAAATATTAACCAAGTGCTTAGGTCTTTTTGTAATCTAGGTGTAAAGAGAGAAGCTAACTCAGAGCCTCCAGGGAGTCTGATGGTCTTAAGGAGGCCAGGATTGGGTTTTCTGCCACTTTAGTCCAATAACTACATTCCACTATTTGACAGATTAATTCTGTGAAGAGCAAATCTCATAGCTTTTCTTCCATGTCCAGTCTGCAGTGGTTTTAACCTTAATTGATGGCGAAACTACTCAACGATTTAGTCAAGAATACGAAATGGTAGGGGAGAAAACTAGGTGGAAGGTGAGGGATTCCATGTGCAAAGCGTTTGGGAGTATGTATATAGGGAGGTTACAAGAAGTCCTCTCAACATGCAGTAAAATTTACCAGGAATGGTATTGCTTAATGTAACTTTACAATTTGGGCTGTCACCTGAATATTAAATAAATCACAAATGTTGATAGAATCACAATTTTACATTGCTAAGAACACTGATTTCCTGATTTTTTTTCTTTAAGTGTCCCAGACCATGCAGCTGTGCAGGTAACGGAAAGCAACTAAGTGTTAAGAGGGGACTGGACTCGGTGTGAAAATAAATCTAAAGGTTCATAGATATTCTCCACACCCATTCACAATCTCCCATTTTCCGCGTATTAAAGGCCCCTGCTTTCTCTAATCCCTTTCTTCAGGTCTTGGCAGGCTGCATTTTTTTTTTTTTCCTTTTTGGTAAGACGCCTTTGATATTCTTCAAATCTGGTTTCACCAGCAAAGAACTTTTAACATTTCATTTCGCTTTGTCTTTGGAAAACAAACTCCTTCACTCATCCGGACGACATTTCACGTCCCTCAAAATTCCAGGGACTCTGTTCTGCTTGTAATGTTGATATAAAGGCAGGATTTGTTTGGGCAGAGGAGGTCAAAAGCTTATTGGATTGCACTTCAAGACATGGGCACAGCCGCCTTGCTCTCTTATAGCTAGAGGCAAAGCGAACTGGGTCAAGGGCATGCGTTTCAATGTGATCAGTCACTACTCGTTGGCCATGCGGAGTAGTGGGATTTTGGCAGTTTTTAAAACCAGGGCAAGTTACCGTGCTGTTATAATCCAAACGCTGGTGGGGTTTTCTCCCTCCCTCACTGCCCCGCATTTGCACCACCGTGACAAATTAAAGTACGTGGGCCAGTAGGGAACTAATCTCTGGGTAACTTAAGTAAGCCTGGTCTTCGTAGCGGACCCAATGTGGAAACAAACCAAATCAGAGGTTACTAACTCTGGAATGTGAAAGTGGGCCCCAATCGGCTTTTACTCCCAGCGGGAAATCCTACACAATTCAGCGCGCGAAAGACCCACCCTCGGCGAGGCGCCAACGCTCCGAACCTCGCTGACAAATCAAGACATGACTCCGCATTTAAAACCGTCCCGAATCGGAACCCGCTAGAGGCCGGAAGCGGCACCACGTGACCAGTCCTCCGCGGCCATTCCTAGCGAGGCAGTCGCCGCCGCTTCTGTCTCATTTCCTAGCTCCTCCAGAGCGGGACCGGGCGGAAACGTGCGACAGGAGGCGGCCCCACCCAGCTTTGGACTGGAGTGTCACTAGAACTCGCGCCTTTTCCAGCAACGCTTTGCAACTACTTCACCGCAAAGAACTGCGGCAGACTTCCGCCTGGGTGCCAACCACGTGATCACGCGAGAGTTGGAGAGGCGTAGGTCCGACTTCACTCCTTCACTCCCCGGCTCCGCCAGTCCAGCACCCTCCACCGCGCGTGACGACGCGGCTCGCGGAGGCCTCCGCCCCGGCGCGCCTGCGCACGTGGCTCTCGCGGTGTCTCGCGCTCAGCCCCGCCCACCTCTGCCCCCGCCCTTTCCGCCCCTCCCTCTCCCATCACCCTGTCTCTCGGCGGCAGCGGCGGCGGCGGTGGCTCGCGCAGCTTGTTGGCTCGCTATATAAAGGAGAGAAGCGGGCGGACCGGACGGCTGGAGCTGCAGCCGGTGGCGGCAGCGGCGGCGCAGGGAGCGGTGACCGGTGGTGGTTTCCCTCCTTGGCGCGGGGTGGGGAGCGGGCAACGCCCCCGGACCCCTGAAGGGTCGTGGCTTTTTTTTTTAAAAGGCGATTCTCGAGGTTTTTAGCTGCGGGAGGAGTACCCCCCTCCTCCTCCTCTCTCCGCTCTCCCCTACTCCTTCAGGATTGATTTTGTTTAAATTTTTTTTCCCAATCTTGCGGTGACTTGGGTCACCCTCGGGTGTTTTAGTATTTTTTTTTTTTTGTTTTGTTTTTATCTTGTTTTCTTGGGGTTGCCCCCTCTTGTTTGTGTTGTGTGTGGAAATGGCGAACTCGGCAAATACAAACACCGTGGTAAGGACGTGGTTCGGTGGCCGGCGGGGGCTTCGTTCAGGCGGCAGCAACGGCCGGACCGGGCGGGGGCGGGGACGGCGGCGACTCCCGGCCTCGACTCTTCAGCCGCCCGCGCGGCCGCCGCCGCTGCCGCCGCCGCTTCCCGCCTCGGGCGGATCGGGCCAGGGCGCAGGGCGCCGGGCGGCGGGCGCGGGGGGGCGCCGAGGGCTCGCGGCGCGGGGAGGGCGGGGGCGCCGGCGGGGCCTGGAGCCGCCGCGGGCCGGGCCGGGTCGGGCCGCGGAGGCGGTTGGGCCCGGGCGGGCGCGCAGCCCCGGCCCCAGAACCCGGCCGCCGGGAGGGAGGGAGGGAGGGGAGCCGCCGCTTCCCCCCAAGGGGCCCCGTCCGCGCTGGCTAGACGATGGCTCCCCAAGCGGCTTCAGAACAAAAACCGTGTCTGGGGAATCGGGCGAAATCCCGAGACCCACCGTGATCTACTTTAATGCAGTGGAGGATTAATGGCTACTTTAGGGGTTACTTAGGCTTTTTTCTGGCAGTTGTGCTTTGGGAACCTTCACTGGGGCCATTTTATGTTTAAAAAAAAGGACGAAGGTTGTTTGAAAAGCACTTATCTCAGTTCCTTCCGAATGGGTAAAATGGCGAAGGGGAAGCAAATCCCCCCCCATCGTATCTTCGACTAGCAAAAGCACCAAAACAAACAAAAAAAGCCTACAGTGGTCCAAGTGTCCCTGCTTTCGCCTTGAAATTTGCCTACTTCTTCCCGTTGGTCCCTTTTTGGTTACTTGCGATCACGTAGGTTTGCAAAAAGCAGTCACATAAATAACCTTTTCAGTCACCAACCCAATGTGATCACTAGTCCCCCCAACTCTTATTTTTATGATGACAATAAAACACGTTTTTGCCAAGTCCCAAATGCCGCAGACCAGCCCGCGGCCGCCCGACACCGTACCGTTGGCGACCCGAGTCGATCCATCATGGCTGCGGCCGCTTACCCTGCTTTTCAGTCCCTGAGCTTTGTGGTCCTCCTCCCTTTGGCTGCCCTGTTTATATAGAGCCATTGCCGCTCTCTAATATAGACTCTGCCAGGATGGGTAGGTGCTTTTCAGGCCTACGTCACCGCCTCTCCATTTAAACACCAGATCCGGCTTTAAATAGTGAGAGCTGCTGAGAGCGGGGCTGGGAGGTGCGTGCTCCCGAGGCGAGAGCCAGGCGCGTGCAGAGCTCAGTTTATTTCTAGGTCCTTTTTTCACGCTGTAATTTCGCGCCTGTCGGGGGCTGCTTTCAGAGCCCCAAGTTTTTGTTTTCTTCCTAGCAGCAGCTAGGATATTCCTTCTTTGTTTGTTAGGGGGAATATATCCGAATCGCTGTCCGTTTTTATTTACAATTTTCAAAATGTATTATTGAAAACAAAGAATTTTTGATCAGATAGTCTATTTTCCTGTGTGCATTATTTTCAGAAATTAAAAAAACTGCTTTCTACAAAGTGTTAGCTGCAGAGGACTTGGGGTTTTGGTTGTATTTTGTTCAGGAAACAGGTTAGAAATACAGCTCCTAATATTTCGTTATGTTTTTCTATAGTAAATCTAAAAGAGACGAGGCCTTTCAGAGAAATATATAAGTGCCTGAAGCTTCGGTATAGGACCGTGTATGTGTAGGGGAATCGTGAGTAATTAGAGGGAGGAGACTTAGTGCAAACTGGATTTTAAAAAATTGTTAAGTAGAACCTTATCACCTTGGATATTAACATGATATCCAGTATAAAAATTATTCCAGTTTATTTTTCAGCATTGCATCAGGGAATTAACATTTTTGAAGGAAACCTCCTAAGAAATCACTTAATAATGCCACTAGTGGCCCTCTGATTAACCAGTTTTCAAGTTTGAAATGTTTTTTTAAAAATCAGGACAAACCTAAACTTTCGTGAAAAACAGAAACTGACTCAATAGAGTGAAGAATTTTAGGTATTAGTTTAGAAATTGCTTATTTCAAATACTGCCTATGTGCCCACATAGTTTTCAAAAATTAGTGTCTTGAGTGCTTTACGAATTGTGAACAATTCTAAATTATTCATTAGGCATATACTTTGTGAAGAATACACATTTCCCTTCTTTCAACTATAGTGCTTATGAAGCTGTTAAGTGATCAAGTTGTGAGTTCATTAAGGCACAAAAATAAAATCTTAAAGAATGATTCATTAAGTAGAGAGTACCAGAAGAAAGCAGATTTATACCTATCAATGTCTGGATCTCCAAGCAAACAGTTTTCAGAGGTAATTGACTTCAGGAACACCACAACACCATCTAGTTTATTGAAAAGCATTATGTATTGTCAATTTGAGATTTATGCTCCCAATTTAAAATACATTGCCCTTCTAATGCCTTGAGGAGTCATTGTTGATTAAAAAACAAAACACTTGATAGAGATACTTTTGTAATTCATCTGTTAAATCAGTTTAGTTAAGATGATGTCCACAGTCACATATACTTTCCTTATATGTAGAATCAGAATGAATGTTAAAGCAGGGACGATAGAAATGTTCGTTTTGCAGATGAATAATTTAAGCTTCAAGAGGCAGATTGGGCAAAATGAGGTTAGTGAGTGGAACAGTAAAGCAAGAACCCAGGTATTTGAATTGGTTTTCTTTTAATGAGAAGGAGTGAATAGTTTTTAATGGTTGAGGCAAATTATACTGACAGATTCATTATTTGTATTTTGTTTGTTTTGTTTTCGGAGACAGGGCCTGGCCCTGTCTCCCAGGCTGGAGTGCAATGGCACAGTCTCCGCTCACTGCACCCTCTCCCTCCTGGGCTCAAGCCATCCATATCAACCTCCCAAATAGCTGGGACTATACAGGCACGTGCCACCGCTCCTGGCTAATTTTTTTGTAGATACAGGGGTTTTCACCATATTGTCCAGGCTGGTCTCGAACTCATGAGCTCAAGCAGTCCTCCCAAAAAGCTGGATTGCTGGTGTTAGGCATTGTACCTTCCCTCATTATTTCTAGTTTTGACAAGGCAAGGACACATTTTCTTAGCAGTTCCCTTGTGATCACAATGTTGCTGATAGAGATGGTAGTGAAACATTTCTGTTTGAAGTTTGCTTATGGGAACAAACCCTTGGTTTTATTTGGTAGCCATTAACTTTTACCTTAAGCAAGGTATGAAACGAGTAATGACAGAGCATCTAAAAAACTTGTTAACCCTAACTCTCTAATAATGGGTAGGATTTATAACCGGGAAACTCTGGTTTTGTCAAGGCAATTCTAGTTTTGTCATCTGACATGACTTCCTTTTTTCTAACAGGTTAAAAATAGGATGTGGGGAACAACAACAAAAAAAAGGGATGTGGATTGGGCTGATTGTTCTATCTGCCACCTTGTAGTTTTTTAAAAAATATTTTATACTCTTTGAAAGTTCGTTCACATCTGTTCTCATTTTGCTCATTTTACCATTCAACCATCTAGAAGCCAGCTCCTTTACTTCCCCACTCCGTCCTCAAGTAATACCGACAGTACAAATTGTAATAATAATAAACATAGGCCGGACGCGGTGGCTCAAGCCTGTAATCCCAGCACTTTGGGAGGCCGAGGCGGGTGGATCACGAGGTCAAAAGATCGAGACCATCCTGGTCAACATGGTGAAACCCCGTCTCTATTAAAAATACAAAAAATTAGCTGGGCATGGTGGTGCGTGCCTGTAATCCCAGCTACATAGGAGGCTGAGGCAGGAGAATTGCCTGAACCCAGGGGGCGGAGGTTGCGGTGAGCCGAGATCGCGCCATTGCACTCCAGCCTGGATAACATGAGTGAAACTCCGTCTCAAAAAAAAAATAAAAAATAAAAGATAATAATAATAATAATAAACATTTAGAGGATTCATGTTCATTATAATGTTCTGTTGCATTACCTGGGCAGTAGTAGAGGAGAAATCCTGGGAAGGAAATCAGCATACCTTTTTCTTTGGGACGTTCAGACCTCTTATTGCGAGTGTATGAATAGTTTAATGATATAGCTTGAAAGGACAGATTGGATCACTCAACAGAAGTTAGGTGATTTTTAAACCTGTATGTTCATTAGGTTGCAGATTATTACCAGGTAGATGACTGCCGTAGATAACATTCTCCAAAGTCTAAGATTTAGTTGTGAGGTAGTGAGATACAGCAGAGTTCAAAGGCATGGAGTAGTAGAAGCTAGACATAAGCAACCCATACAGCTATTTTTGAACATTACATTAGGTATTTTGACTACAACATAGGAAATTATAATTGGAAATTGTATGGACCTTGTAGGGACCTTCTGTGTGTGAATTGCATTAATCTTAAAATTTTTATTAAAGGATGCAGTTATCAAATCTAGTTTATGGCAAATGAGGTCTGTTAGGGTGGTCATATTTTGAAAGTCATATATAGATAGTTGGCAAAATGAATTGTATTTGTTTTGAATTTGTGAAAATGTTATACATTATAACCTGTGAGAAACTGTCTTTTTCAAGTCTTTTATTTTTCCTTTAAAGCCTAAATTATACAGATCTGTGATTGAAGATGTCATTAATGATGTGAGAGACATCTTTCTGGATGATGGAGTGGATGAACAAGTACTGATGGAACTAAAAACTGTGAGTTTGTCTTTTTTAAAATATTCCTACCTTTTCCTCCCATCATTCTCTTTGGCTAGAAATGAATCTGTAATTTTTCTATAGGATGAATGTTTAACTTTGTTGAAGGAGGCAGTATAGTTTAGTGACATGTGCTGGTTTTAAATTCCAACTCTACCATGCATTCTTCCTCTGACCTTAGGCAAGCTACTTTTATATTTCAGTTTCCTTATGTGTAAGATGGAAATTGGTAGTATTTATCTTATAGGTTTGTTTTGAGGGTTAAATGGAATAACCATATAAAATCTTAGCTCAATGCCTGATAGTGGCATTAGCTGTTATTATTGGACAGTTAGTATTCTACATTTTATGGTCTGATTACTTGACATGCCTGTAAGAATTTTCTTGCTCTTTTTTTTCTTTTTTTTTTTTTTGACACAGGGTCTGGCTCTGTTGCCCAGGCTGGAGTGTAGTGGTGCCATCTGGGCTTACTGCAACCTCCCACTCCCAGGCTCAAATCATCCTCCCATCTCTGGGACTACAGGCACATGCCACCATGCCTGGTTAATTTTTGTATTTTTGGTAGGAGATGGTTTTCAGCACATTACCAAGGCTGCTTTCCAACTCCTGGCTGCAATTGATCCTCCTGCCTCAACCTCCCAAAGTGCTAGGATTATGGGTGTGAGCCACGGCACCTGGCCTTAATCTTATGTTTTTTTTTGAGACGGAGTCTCACTCTGTTGTAAGCCTGGAGTGCAATAACACCATCTTGGCTGACTGCAACCTCCACCTCCTGGATTCAAATGATTCTTGTGCCTCAGCCTCCCGAGTAGCTGGGACTACAGGCACGCATCGCCACACCCAGCTAATTTTTGTATTTTTGGTAGATACGGGGTTTCACATTGTTAGCCCAGGACGATCTCGATCTCCATCTCCTGACCTCATAATCCGCCCACCTCGGCCTACCAAAGTGCTGGGATTACAGAAGTCTTAATATACCTGTATTCTAAAGTGTGTTTAAGTTGTGGGATTAAGTGCTTGATAAAATAGTTTTAGTTTCTTGGCCAGGCATGGTGTCTCAAGCCTGTAATCCCAGCACTTTGGGAGGCCAAGCCTGGCCAAGATGGTGAAACCCTGTCTCTACTTAAAAAAAAAAAAAAGAATTTTAGGTTCTTGAAGTAGACCTGTTACATAGGCTAAATGTTTTAAATATATTTTACTTTAAGAGTGAGTTTTCTTTATCTTGGATTTAAGCAGAAATATTTAGATTTTTTTTTTTTTTTATTAGCAGTTATGTTTTCCTTGTGTTGTAATGACTCATGAAATTGTGGTATGTTTTTGTCCTGTTGATTAGAATAGTGTTTCTCAAAGTACACTTCATGGAGTCCTGGGCTTTCCCCTGGGGTCCTTTCAGGGGATCCATAAGGTTGACTGAATGCTCAAGTCTGGAAAATCATAGTTTGCCTGTCATTCTTTCAAGTAAAAATTGTATTCTGTGAGAAAAGTGACGCGTTCAATTCACAACTCAAGTGGACAAGTGCTTTCCTTTGAGATAACTGTAAATAGGCAGCAGAAATGCTTCATGCATACTTCTCATTCTGATAAACTGAATGTTAAAAAGATGTGGACTCATTGATATTAAGATATTCTGTAATGAAGTGTGTTTACATTTGAAAGATCTGAATTCACTGAATTTGTATTTTCCAAATGTCCAATGCGTAATGTTGGGAAACTCATTCAAAATGTAAGATAAATTAATGGACTTTCACAGTATGAAAAGTTCATAGTTATATGGTTTAATATTCTGCATTGTAGCTATCACTTAAACTAGAAACTGTCACTTAAAAACACCTTTTCTTTTCCCAACGACTTAACTGTAAGTAGGCAGATTTTCTTTGTATACCTCAACCAAGACAACAAAGTGAAAACAGAGGCAGATATGAGAATCTGGCTATTTTCCTTTAAGTCATTTGTCATTCTCACTCAATTTTATTTACTAAAATATGGCTATTTGCAGAAAAAAATGTTATTTATGTTAACATATAGTGGATCCATTATTTCTAAACAAATTAGTAAACATTTAAAAAACTTTGTTGTAATTTCTATTACTGTAAGTATAGGTAAATGTAATTCACTTACAGAAGAGCTCTTTGAGAGTCCCGGTGATTTTTGAAAGCAATAAAAGGTCCTGAGATGCAAGAGTTTTATAACTGCTGGTTTAGAAGTTGAATGCTAAGCTCCTTTAACTCTGTGTACAAATATGTAATCACAGTTAATAATTGTTAAAGAACGTATGTTGTGGTCTCATCCTTTCAACATAAGCGTGGAGGGTGCAACTTGGCAACCAGTTAATTTATTTTATTTTTATTTTTTTAGTAGAGATGGGGTTTCACCATGTTGGCCAATATGGTCTCGATCTCTTGACCTTGTGATTCACCCGCCTTGACCTCTCAAAGTGCTGGGATTACAGGCATGAGCCACCGTGCCTGGCCCAGTTTATTTTAAATAAAGCAAATCTCACCTTGCTTGTGGTGATGAAGTAGGTCTTGGTGTATTTATTAATAGATATCTACAGGAGACTTCTCTAGAATTTTCAATGCGAATATTCCTTTGTGAGGTAGGAAAAATATATAGGTGTGAAACAGATGATCAAGTATTTATTTACCTTGAGAAGAATGTGTAAGGGTTACTAATAGTGAAGAGTAGGTATCTAAAAATACAAGTGTAGGAGTGCTAACTCTGAGACATGAGTTGGCAGAAGAACAATATAAATTGCTGAAGTGGCATGAAGTAAATGAAGGATGTGAATAATAAGAAAACAAGCTTATTTTGATTTCTTAGTGTAACGTGGAATGAGTTTCTTGAAATTTATGTTACGCTGTTATAATGGTTGTCCTTGTAGTTTGTGACCTTGTGTGGAAGATGCAGCATTTTTAGGTGTAGAAAATCAGTTCTAAAGATGTTAAGCAATTTTCTATAGGACAAAGTCTAGTGGTCAGTCTAGATTATTATCTGCTCTTGGTTTTCACAATGAAACTCTGGAGAATTGATTTTCCTTACTGTTAACAGTAGAATCAAGACATTCTCTCAAAGAGAATGAGCTATCTTTGAGACCTCCATTTTTATCATATATGACTTTTTTAGTACATATTTTACAGGTAACACACTGATTTTTAGCTTAATGGTTTTTTAATGACAAAAAAATGTGACCTATTCAACTTGGAATCCCCAGCCTTTACCACAATTTCTGGCATATGTGGTTGGCATTCAGTAAGTATTTGATTGAACTGTTTGATAACAAATATGGCAACTGAATCTTAACTGAACAAAATAGTGTAATATTCTTGTTGTTTTTAAATGGGCCATAGTCATCTATTTGGGTTTTATTGGAGTTAAAAATAAAATAGACTAAAATGAGTTTGTTTTAATTTTAATTCTCTGGACTGAATTTCTTCAGGATCTTATTAGAATTTCTAGAATATGCCCTAGATTTAATAGTTAGCCAGCCAGCATTGTCCAATAGAACTTTCTACAGTGATGAAAGTATTCTATAGCTGTGCTCTTCAGTATGGTATCAACTAGCCACATGTACTTATTAAGCACTCAGAATGTGGTTGGTGGAACTGAGAAACTGAATTTTTTATTAATCTAAACTGAAATCACTGCATATGGCTGCTTGCTGCCGTATTGGACTGGTCAAGTTTAGACATTCTTGCTTAGTAAAACAAACTTTAATTTTGTATTTTATGGTTTAGAAAGACTGTCATGAGCTCTAGACCCTCTCCCCACTTTTTGAAGCCGTTTTACAAACTTATCAAGAGCTTGTATAAGTCTGTAAAGGAGGCAGTGGTGAATTAGATTGAGAACAAAGATGAGTGATGAGAATCCATGTGATTTGAGGGTTAATGAGGTAATGCAGAAATGGAGACGATAAAAATATTTCAACCCCGTCTTTGAGGTTATCTCCTTAACCACTGGGCCTCCTTTAATGTAATGTGTGAACTATGAGAGGTAGAAAAAACACCATAAAATACAGCCCTGGTTTTCAGTAAATCTGTATTGGAATGTAAATGTGTTTTGGATTGGTGAGTGACTATTGGGTGGGAATGATACTGTAGAAATTTTCAGCAATTCTCTGGAATTCAGCCTGATTTCTAGATTATCCAACCTACCTATCTCCAAACATCAAGTACTGTGGGAGATATAAAACATTTTCTCTCTTTTTAATAAAACAAATAAAATGAGAATAGTTGCCTCAATTGGAAGTATATCTGAAATTCATTTTGTCTGCCTCTGGTTCAGATTTCTCAGCATTGGCTCTATTGACATTTTGCACTGATTAATTCTTTGTTGCAGGGACTGTCCTATTGATGGTAGGATGTTAGCAGCATGACTGGCCTCTGTCCACTAGATGCCAGTAGCTCCCTTCAGTTGTAACGAAAGCTGTCTCTAGACTTTGCCAGATGTTGCTGGGGGGGCAGAATCACCTCTGGTTGAGAACCACTATTCTAAATGTCTTCTAGTTATGTATATAAAATACTTGATATACTCTAATCATATGTAAATACTTGGACCATAAGTTGAGTAATAATCTATTTCATTTCATTTACTCTTAGGGAAAGCTGTGTTTCTCCAGCATTATTTCTTGGGAGCCCAGAAATGTAATATGTTTTATCCAGGAGCTAGATGTTTTGTGAAACTAGAAGAATCCTTCAGAATTTGTAGCCCACCATGTTGCCAGGGAGCAGTAGATCTCATCACATTTTATAGATGAGAAAGTAGACTGGGAATGTGCTTTGACAAGGTCATTTGGCTAATAAGTGATAGAGACTATCACTATGAACCTAGCCCTTTTGCCTCCATGTGACATATACAGAACTTAGCAATAAGAAGGAAGGTAACAGTTTTGACTATGGCTTGGGTTGTTGTGTGGCACCTGAGATGGTTTTGAGTGTCAGTGACCTGCTCTGATAGCAGCAATTTAGAGATTAGGAATTTGGATGAGTACTGGGATTAAAGTG